CTGTTCGGTGCGGGCGGGCGCGCTGCAGTTCGCACGCGGAAGTTCTCAGGCGGCGCTCTGTGTTGCAAACACACACGCGGAAGTCAGCGCGCCAGGATACCAGCCAGAGCTGCATATTTTTTTAGAGGTTCCTGATCATTTTGTTAAGAGACCAATTACAGTGTCGGGACCGCCCGCAGGACGGAGGTTCTCCAGTCGGCGCTCAGTTAGGAGTTTCTCTGATACTAAATATCCCTCTGCTCCGTCGATCGTGTCTCTGTCGCGCCTGCCTTTCTTTTTTACCCAAGGGGTTCAAATCGCCTGCCTGATGAGGTTTCATTTCTAAGGAGCTCTGATCACCTCTCCCCAAAGACTCAACACAGCAGCTTTCTGCGGCTTCTTCCAAATTGTGGTTTGTTGACATCTGGAAACACCACTAAAGTCGCTTTCTATTTGTAGTGATCTCACAGCCAATTCTGTTAGTTTCAGATGTCCAGTAACATGCTCTGTAGGGTTTGCTTGCTTTCTTGCGGGGGGGAAATCTCATTTTTCCTATCATTCCTGGGCAGTTTTTACTAAACTAATACTTTTCGTGGTCGGCTATATCCTGCGCTGCGCGTATATTGATGACACAGTTCCTGTCATTAAACAGAGACAGGCAGAGTCTCACAGTGTCCTAAAGCTACACTAAATGAAAAAGTCCCTTTCTCTCTTGAGTATCCAGGCAGCTTTCCTGTTCCGTTTTTGCCACAGGTTCACTGGAATACTGCAAAGGTATACACACACACACACTCACACGTGTGGTGCTGAGGATTGAACCAGAGTCTCAGACTTGCTAGGCAAGCACTCTGCATCTTGAAGTACAGTCCTAGGCCCAACCAAGGTCTTTGCAAGTGACTGGTTTTTTTGACATCCTAACAAGCTATTTGTAGTCCTTTTGGGAGATAAGCTTCTGGGACATCAGACATAATGGCAAAAAAAAAAAAAAAGATATAGGGAGGGTGGTGAGGGAAGGACATCCTGTCCCTGACACCAGCCCCCATGCCTACTTGTGGAAAGAACAGGAAACACATTGTATCTGCTCTGCCTACAAATAAGGATGGCACGCTCTCCCAGTTACTCAATGTTTCTGCTTTGTGAATTCATTCATTATCATAAAAAGTTGATCCAGGACTGGCTAAATTATTTTGGCTGTAAGTGTCCTTTGAGATACAGTCCAATCCTCATTTCCACATCAAAATACGGAAGTCCAAAGGAACTGAGGCTTCGCCACAGTGAGGCAGAGCCAGAAGTAGTACCCAGACTTCCTGACAGGTCAGGGGTCTTTTAACAGCTTCACTTCTTTCATTACATCTACTAGTTACCAAGGAGACAGTAACGGAATAGTGCCTTTTTTGAGGGGTAGGAATTGCTGGGAATGGAATGCAGGGACACTCTACCACCTGGCTACATTCCCCAGTCCCTCTAAATTTTGTTGTTGTTTGGGGGCAAGGTCTTACTTACTCAACTGCCCAAGTCGGTTTAACTTTTCCTCTTAACTGCCTCAGCCTTCCAAAGTGATGAAGTCATAGGCATGTGCCACTGCCCTGCTGCATTATTTTTTTTTCATCTGCAAGGTTTAAGTAATCGACTAGTTTGAATGTTAATAACTACATTTTCCCTAACAGAGGATATGACAATTCCTGTCCGTCCACAACAGATTATATAACAATTACATGTATAATGTGGACTATCACACAAATAGAAAAGCATTGTTTTAACTCACAGTTCAAATTTATTACAGAATACTTTCTTTACTTTTCAAGGAATCTATACCCAAAATAGTACTGATGATATAAGTCATGAAAACATCAATGTATCAAAATGTGGAGTGGTTATTGGGAGAGGCGGTGGTGGACTCAAAAAGATGTATTATATACATGTACCAACTCCCCACAAATAAAAGTTGAGTCCTACACATTTTTGCTTACATTTTTAAAGACACGTGCTTCCTTTTTTTTTTACAAGTTTCAACCTATTCTTCATGTATTCTGTCTTTTCCCTTCTATTCTACAGTTTCTCCATATGCTACTATTGTTCAATATGTGTTAAATATAGTAGCTGCAGTTGTAGTGTGTAATGGAAAATTCTACCATTATCTGTGTTATCTCCTTTCCCAGATTTCCCCTTAAGAGGCAGGACTTAGAATAACAAGAGTAGGAGAGTAGAAATGGCTTGAACCAGCTCAGAGACACTTCCACATAAATTTAATATTTATATGAGTTGATTATATTAAAATTTAGGGGGCCAGGAATATAGCTCAGTGGCACAGCGCCTGCCTGGCAAGCACAAGGTCCTGAGTTCAATTCCCAACACACACACACAAAAATTAGAATTTAAGAAAGCAATTCAAGCCGGGAGTGGTGGCACATGCCTGTAATCCCAGCACTTAGGAGGTTGAGGCTGGAGAATCATTTTGAGTTTCGAGACCAGCCTGGACTACAAAGTGAGCTCAAAGCCAGCCTGAACTGCATAGCAAGACCCTGTCTCAAAAAGACAAAAAAAAAAAAAAAAAAAAAAGCAATTTATACAAATTCACTATAGGAGCAAAGACAATTTCAATAATATGGTTCTTAGTATAGGACTATAGCCACATTAATGCTGCAACATTTAAAACATGAACAAAAATTAACTAGAGGGTGGAGTTTTCAAAGTAAGATTCAAATACTTCAGGAATAGTAAGTGTATACGGTAAGTCAAAAAAAACTCTCATATGTTTAACACAAAGAGCAAGATGAAAAGTAGTAACAATTACTGTGCAACTAATACTTACAGTGGGCATTTATTCAATAAAAACGATGCATTTTACAGGCATGAATCCAATCCAATGTCCCTAGGATGTAATTACTAACAATCTTCACCAGGCAGCTAAGGGCACTATCACCTGGAAACTTACACCGGCATGAAATAAATTGAGGTAAAGAAGGCAGGAGTCAGATTATGCAGGGCCTCCAGGATTTCATGAAGGAATTGGTCCTCGTGCTAAGGTAACTAACTGAAAAGCAGTAACGACACATGGAGGGATTATTTATTTATTTTGGTTTTTTGAGACAATCTCGATATGTATTGCAGGATGGCTTTGAACTCCCTGCAATCCTCTCTTCAGCCTTAAATCCCTCCAGGTGTAGACGGGTGTATTGGAAGCAACAATCCTACCACTCAGGGCAGAGGCAGGAGCCTCACCTGGAGGGATTTAAGGCTGACGAGATTTTCTAATGGATAGTGAGGGAGAAAGTGGGAAGTGTAAGTGATGAATCAAAAACTTATGGTTGGGGCTGGGGATTTAGCTCAGCGGCAAAAAGCGCCTGCCTGGCAAGCGCAAGGTCGCGAGTTCGGTTCCCAGTACTGGAGAAAAAAAAAAAAAACTTATGGTTGAACAACAGAAGGGTTAATCTTTTTACTAGGAAGTCAGAGTTTGAGAAGCAAGTTGAGATGAAGAGTTCAATTTTAAATTAATTGAAAAAAAATTAACAGGAGTCTCCCACCAAGTAGGCAGTCTCGTACAAGAATGTGAAAGGTGAAGGGCTGGGGATGGAGCTTAGTGGCACAGTGCCTGTCTGGTAAGCTCAAGGTCCCGAGTTTGATTCCTGGTAGCTTAAAAAAAAAAAAAAAGTGAAGAGAGGCTAGGGCTCCCGCCTACCATAAAGTGGAATCCCTGCCTGTCACTCTCTTTTCACATCACTCTCCACACAACTCCCTTTTCCTACTTACCACAGTCTAAGGATTTCATATCTGTCTAATGGAAACCTACGGTCGCAGACTCTCTGCTTGACTGCTCACTATTATCTTCCCATATCTGGTGTATATAAACTGTCCATGTGCTCCCTTCTGCAGCACATATACTATAAAATATATGAATTGTCCAATGAATAAACAAAACAGCATTAAAGAATCATACCACAAAAATTTTGGCAAACGAATTGATATTGCTCTTGTACATGTCCACTGTTAAGGAATGTACCATCATAAGGAAATCTTTTGTTTTTAAATAGCTTAGAAGACTTTGTGTGTGTGTGTGTCCAAGGTCTTGCTAAATTGCCTTTTGCACTGAAACTTGCAACCTTCCTGTTTCAGCATCCCAGATTACTGGGTACTGGGATTACAGGCATGTACTACTATGTCTGGCTGAAAACTCTTATGGTTTTTTTTTTTTTTTTTTTTTGGTTTTTCTCCAGTACCAGGAACTGAACTCACGACCTTGCGCATGCCAGGCAGGTGCTTTTGCCACTGAGCTAAATTCCCAGCCCCTGAAAACTCTTATGTTCAATCACAGACAGCTTATTGGAAACACTGACGTGTTGGTGCAGGTGAGCAATCTGGTCCTCCTACCTAAAGATTAACAATTGTGGGGCTGGGGATTTAGCTCAGCGGCAAAGCCCCTGCCTGGCAAGCGCAAGGTCGTGAGTTCGATTCCTGGTACCGGAAGAAAAAAAAACTAACATTTGTGTAGCCCTAATTCACCTGGCTTAGATGCACACTGGTTTGTCATTATCCCTGACAAGTCAGACGCAAAGCTGACCCTCCAGCTCCTCACCACGGACATACACAGTAGAGGGGTCACAGTGTGCACAGTAGTAATAGTATTAATAATTGTATTTTCACTAAAAACAGCCATTAAACTTTCTGACTAGCTCCTTAAAAACTCACAGCCAACTAAAATGCCATTAACAAAAGGTACTGTTTAGGTATATCAAAATACAGTGTTTAGGTATATCAAAGTACTTGTGATCAGCTAGCCATTGGGGTACACACCTGTAATCCTAGCACTCTGGGAGGCTGAGACAGA